TAGCCAGGCATGGTGGCACATGCCTGTAGTCCCAGCTACTCGGGAGGCTGAGGCAGGAGGATCACTTGAGCCCAGGAGTTTGAGGCTGCTGTGAGCAAGGTTGATGCCATGGCACTCTAGCCCAGGCAAAAGAGTGAGACTCTGTCTCCAAAAAAAATAAATGAATGAATTAATTAAATAAAATAAAATTTTTTGAAAAAGGAAAACAAAAAGAAATACAACAGGAGACACGAATGTGAACCATATCTTTAATTAAAAAAAATTTTTTTTAGACAGGCATGGTGGCTAATGCCTATAATCCTAGCACGTTGCAACCTCAAACTCCTGGGCTCAAATGATCCTGCTGCCTTAGCCTCCCCAGTAGCTGGGAGTACATGCACCTGCCGCTGTTAGGTTTTAGTCTGAAACTGTCGGTTCTTGGCACACTCATGGCTGAAGAATGACCAGACACGCCAAAGTTAGGCAAGCACGAAAATGAGGTTTATTGAAGAAAGATAGGATTATAGGGCAAGAGCAACATATAGGTTTACAGAGCATGGTACATATGCCATGGATGACGACCGGACCCATTGTCGCAGCTGGGCAAGCAAAAAGAAGAGCAAAGAGAGTGATTGGCTATGGTCTGCATCCTATTTTATAGTGTCCGGATAGGGACCTCCCTTGTGGTTCAGAGGTCACCATGGAACCACTTTGATTAGACAATTGGGAGTCACATGACCTGAGCCTTAACTATGCATGTGGGTTCTAGGTCACTTTTTGGACTTTATGGTAACCATGTGGCTTGGCCCAGCGGGCTAGAGTCCTCTGCATTCTTTTGCAGCTGGTGTGCCAAGTTCTGATTGGCAGATTCATAGTGTATTCCCTCCTCCCCCAGGTATGGAGGGACAATCAGGGTTGGGCAGGACCAAGATTGGGGCAACAGCACCCACTTTCTTCCCTAGGAGACCTGGAATCCCTCACTATCTACCTAACACCAACCACAGCCAGATAATTTTTCTATTTTTGCTAGAGACGGGTCTTGCTCTAGCTCAGGCTGGTTTCGAACTCCTAACTCAAGCAATCCTCCCAGCCTCCGCCTCCCAGAGTGCTAGGATTACAGGCGTAAGCCACCACACCCAGCCTATATATTTTTTTAAATGACTAGGTCATACCTTTCTAACCCATTTCAACTCAATGGAAATCAGCTTCCACTAGCTTGCCACAATATTCTTTGTCAGTGATCTGTATCATATGGATGAATGAATGGACTGTGGAAGCCAGATTTATTATTTTCACTGGCTGGTGTTTTCAAACTCAAAGGAAGGACACAATGCTTATACTTACCACCGGTGTATTTATTCTGGAAACCCAGTCTTCTGATAGTTTTCCAATCAATGGATTCCTTGCTTTGTGAATTTAGGTTTTATATATTTCCTCCAAACAAAGCTAGATCCATACAACTATGCCTTGTTCATTTTGAGCTCAATCAAAAAGAAATCCAGTGGGAAGATGGGCACGCACAGTCACACAGTATACAGTGCAGAAAGCATTTCTTAAAGGCGATGCAGTGTGTACAGCTAGTATTAATAGATATTTCCATCCTTCTGAGAACGATACTCCCATAAAAAGAAATGGGAAAACAGACTCGTATTAATATCTATTGCAGGTGTAAACAAAAGCGTTGACTCCAGTGAGCCCAAATGTACTATATTTACAGGGAATTTATCTGAGAATTTCATACAACTAAAAAAAGTCTACTCGCAATTATTACTAAGGTTTTCCTACTTCTTCAAATTGCAATGGCAGTTGTATTTTCAGTTCCTAGAACAGTACTTGGTACTATTAGGCATTCAAGGACTAGTTGTAGGATTAATTGATCACTGAATTACGTCTTCCGGAGCAACTCTTACTGCACCACACCATAGTCAAAATATGAAAAAGCCAAAGTATAAAAGCTCTTAACGCAACTAGGCGTCCTGGCCAGGCGCGGTGGTTCACGCCTGTAATCCCAGCACTCTAGGAGGCCGAGGCGGGAGGATCGCTTGAGCTCAGGAGTTCAAAATCAGCCTGAGCAAGAGCGGGACCCGTCTCTACTAAACATAGAAAAAATTAGCCGGCCGTGGTGGATCGGGTCTGTAGTCCCAGTTATTCAGGAACCTGAGGCAGGAAGGATCGCTTGAGCCCAGGAGTTTGGGGTTGCTGTGAGCTGGGCTGACACTACTGCACTCTAGCCCGGGCAACAGAGCGAGACTCCGTCACCACACATACACACACACACACACACACACACACACACACAAAAGCTAAATGCCCCCCAACAACAAAAAAAAACACAACTACGAGTCCGTGGAACCGGGCTATACACAAATATGTTAGGTACTATATATACAATATTTTGTTCTCCCCGTGTTAATATCCAATGAGAACAGATTGCCCCACCCCGCGTTCTCCTAAAGGGCAAAAGGAAGTTCCAAGAGTAGGGTTGGAGGGCACGGTCAGAGGGTACTGATGTCCCCGTCCGCAGAAAATCATCAGTCTCCACTTTCAGGTACACGCTACCGGTTACCGCGCAGGCGCAGAAGGGGCGGGACCGAAGCAGCAAAGGCGAGAGTCGATTCGCCAGATTCTGGCGGACCCCGCCCCTCGCCTTGCGTCAGAGGGTCACGTGGTCTTCCGGGAGCGGATGAACGGAGTTGATAAGGGTTTACCGCAGCGCGCGCGAGCTCTCCAGCGACTGTGGGGACCAACACGGGTTGGCTGTGGACGTTGCGCGGGGCGCCGCCGCCACAGCTGCCTTTCTTTGCTACCAGGATTGAGCGTATCCCCCCAGTAAGTATGAGAAGGGTGGCAGGAGGTGGGTATACAGGAGCGCAAGATGTACAGCTTCTAGGCAATCCGCTTTCTCTCCTGCCAACCTGAAGCCGCGCGTACTTTGATAGTTGCGGGGCCGCCGCCAGGATAAAAGTGGTTGTTGAACGGTCGCGGGAGCCTGGGCGGGGAGGGTGATGTGGCTAGGGGCTGCCCCATTGGCTGGGTCGATTTTGGCGCGCTCTCGCTTCCGCGCCCCCTATTGGCTGGCGGGCGCCATCCCGAGGTGCGCGCAGCGGTTGGTGGGCTCCGGCGCGCGGGCCGCCTCGCCCGCCTCATCGCTGGGCACTGGGCCTCCGAGACCCGCCCGGTGAGTCCTGGTTTCGTAGGAGGGCAGCCGAGTTGAAGGACTGCGTGGCTGTGGGAATGAGGCAGACATCATCCTCTTGCCAGTTCAGTAACTGGTCGTGATCTGAGGAGATCCGTAAACTTGACTTACGGGAAAAAGTCGCTGAATCCTGCATCTCCCTTTAAAAAAAGATACCGGTGTTGGTGACACTTGTTTCGCCTGCGCATCCGCGCTTCCTTTGGACCTTGTCCTATGAGGGTTTTTAAACTGATATTTTAAAAGAACTAGAGTATAAAAAGCAAGGGTGCAAGGTTGCTGACACGGGTGTGGTAAACTTGGGAATGATTAGACTGACTTGATCAGTGGCTTTCAGTTTTTTTCATACTGAACCACATTTTATGTCGCAATTTAGGACGCAGCCACCTAACTAAATTAGACGTTTCATGAAGCAGTACTTATTTCTCACAGTGTGCTCTGATATTTTCTTGTCTCTTCTGTTCAGTTGGCATTTTTCTAAACGGTGTTACTCATGACCTACTAAATGATTTTGGGATCCCGGCACACGACCCGCAGTTTGAAAAACACTGTCCTGGGTACGCTTAATGGGTTCCAACCAGCATTTTCTTAATATGAAATAGAATAGAAAATAGGATGCACTACACACAATTAGATTAAATTTTGTTTCTTAAGCCTTTTCGTTTGCATGTGTGCTAGGGCACAGTGTAAAATGTATTAACACAAGTAGTGGGTCTAAGTCACAATTTGAAAGCCACTGCACTGACTAAAGACATGGCCACAAAAATCAGGGAGATCTCTTAGGAAGGCACAGACATGGCAGGGGGGTTCAGATGTTGAGTTTGGAGTGAATCTCGCCCAGTGGTCTCGTTAATCACATTATATGTCCCTTTATCTCCTGCGCCCTCATCCTTGTTTGGTAGTCCTTCAGTTCATGTTTGTGATTAAACATTTCTTCCAAATGTAAATGCACAATCTCATTTGACTGGCTATTCAGTCACTATTAAGTTATTGCCAGAGGCAATATGATAGTAAAATCATAGCTTAAATCTGCCTTTAAAACTGCAAAGTTAAGATGCTATTAGGAATGGGCTTGGGCATACCCAAGTGTCTGTGTGTTTTGTTTTTCATGATGACCATTTCTCAGATCTTCAAGAGCCCTGTATTTAATTCAGGACACTATGCTTTGTAAATTTGTTAAAATACATGATTTCCTTTTTGTAACAAGATTTTTTCAGCTATAATTATTGCGTGTGTGTATGTATAAAATTAGATATTGAACGTTACTAATGTTGGTCACCCTAGTCACTGACAGGCTGAGTTTGAGTTGAGTGAGAAAAGATAATAGTTCTTCTGCCACATAATAGTATGACTTTTGTACTCGTAAGTACTTCCAACAACAAAAAAAAACTAAATTCCACCTTCAGGTGCAAACCATATTCTGTTTTTTAATTACTAGTCTTTTGTGCTCCGGGAGCTGTGTAATGAATCCCAGTATGAAGCAGAAACAAGAAGAAATCAAAGAGAATGTAAAGGTATGTGATCGAATAACTTTAATCTTTTACAGGAAACATATGGTTAAAAGTATTTTACATAATTTAGCCAAATTTAACCTGGCTATAATTTCTTTGAACCTTGAGTTGCTGAATTTTTCCTTTTTTTTAAAAAAAAATTAATAGAAATAGGGGATACAAGTTGAGTTCCTTTACATGTGTATATTGTATCGTGATGAAATCTGGGCTTTTGTATTCATGCCTTGAATAGAGTTACTGAATTTTTAATCAGAAGACAAGTAACAATAGAGAACTTTAAAAAAATTAATTAAAGCTCACCCAAGAATATGGGATATCTTTTATTTTGGTCTTTAATTTCTTTCAACAACATCTTGTAGTTTTCTGAGTATGAGTTTTACATTACTTTTGTTAAATTTTTTTCTAAGTTTTTCTTCTTTTTAATGCTATTGTAAATGGAATTATTTCCTTAATTTCATTCTCAGTTTGGTTATTGCTCCTGTATAGAAATACAGCTGTGGCCGGGCGTGGTGGCTCACGCCTGTAATCCTATCACTCTGGGAGGATGAGGCGGGAGGATTGCTGAAGGTCAGGAGTTCAACACCAGCCTAAGCAAGAGTGAGACCCCATCTCTCCTAAAAAAAAAAAAAAAAAGAAAGAAAAAAGAAAGAAATTAGCTGGACAACTAAAATTAAATAGAAAAAATTAGCCAGGCATGGTGGCGCATGCCTGTAGTCCCAGCTACTCGGGAGGCTGAGGCAG